TTGTTTGAAAGTTATCGTGTTAACAAATTTTTGCGTACAGGGTACAGGGTACAGGGTACAGGGTACGCACTAGGGTGGTTCGATTTTTGTGAAAATTCAGAAGGGATACTGGCTATAGTTATAAGTTATAGAAAAATAAATGGTCTTACGAACGTAAGACGAACTTTTCCGCACTGTTTAACCGCAGTACACCACAAACGTTTCTTTTTTTTTAAGCAATGGAATCATTTTTCAATAACATTCAAAACATTGAATTTAAAACACATTGAATCTTTCCATCGTATTTTTCAATTCTCATTTCAATTTTTATCTAGATATTATGAAAGGAGATGTTTTTTTATGTAATCTATTGTTGTTTTTAAATTTCAATAGAAGTAAAAGTGTACACAAATGAAAAACGTTTGACTTCGTTGATATTCAAATTTGTAATAATTTTTAATGTTCATTCTTACTAGCTAAACAATTGGTTTTATGATAAATTTTGATTAGGTTCCAGAAAAGAATAGTTCGAAATTCTGAAAGTTTTAAAGTTTGCTTATGCTAATGAACTACATTTGAAGAATTCGATTATAGCTACATATTATTGATTCAAATTGAATTGGTTTTAAGGTAAAATGAATAATATTTGGGAAAATATGCTTACAGCTAAAGTTTAGCTGCTAAACTTGCGTGGTTCAAGTGAAATGTTTTTTAATGTGAATGAATCGCATTTGAAAAATGCGTCTAATGTAATTTTTTTTAGCTTCAAATGAATTGTTTTTTGTGTTAATTGAAGTAGCAAAAGTTGAGTCAAAAAAAGAAAAACGGAATTTGAATGCTAAGATCTTTTGTTGTGTTTCAACAAGATATGTCGTGTAAAAAAAATGTAAGATCTAAAATGTCGATGTTTTATTGAGGTGGAAGAGATGGAAATAGAGACAATTGTCCAGTTTCAATAATATCTGCCAAATGGTACCTTAGATCTGTTGTTGAATCGGTACTTGTTGGATCGCGTGATGTTGTTAAACGTAACAGATATTGACTTGGATCTTGGTTCAGCAGGAGAGAAGTGGCATTTGCGCAAGCGAACACCCCACACGATATTGAATCGGGTTGATTGGTTGCAGGTTTCACGAAAATTCGTTGACGGTGGTTTGGATATCGAATGTTTATTATTTGCCTTGTTCTGATGGAAATGTGATTTTGTTGAAAATGGCTCGTGAGATCGTCCGCTTCGAATGGCGAATCACCCCTGTACAAACTGTCATAAATGTAGACTATTTGATTCATCGCATCGTAATTTACACAAATATAGTGGCCGATTATCACACGATTGGGATTTCTTGTAAGTGGGCCCACATAAACGATTTGTATGTCATTCATCAAATGATCTTGTCGTTCGTATAGTAAAGGAGTTTGAGCCAAAATGACACTTATCATATGGTTACCCATGGTTTGATTGACAACTTTGATAAATTCATCCATTTCATCAGTTGTAAGATGTATATGTTGCGAACGAATACGTAAACAGGATTGCCTACGCTCTTCTGCTCTTGCATCTTGTACAGCTGCTCTTGCCTGATCAACTCCAACTTGTTCACCTGAGATAACGATTGGTGACGCTGATGACCTTTGTGGTGGTGGTGGTAGTAATGGTAGAACTACATTTTGTATCACATTTTGTGCGGTATCACGCCTTGTACTCCTTCGAACTGGGACTTGGTTTTTAGCACTTGATTTTGATGGTAGTTGTGCTGGTAACAGTTTTCCTTTCATGGTTATGTTCTTGATTAAATTCGTTGTTGCCCACTGTGCTTTCAGTTTTAGACGTTGCTCTGTGGTGGTATTTACGTCAAACAGCATACCATAAATTGGTTTGTGGTCGGAGAAGTAGCTTTCGTATGAACCGGCTATGCATTCGAAGTCGCTGAATACAATATCTATTTGAGTGTTGTTAGTTGTAGTCACTTCTTCTGCACCGAGTTTATTTTTCATATTAAATTTGTCCATTAGTTTGATAAAATTACTGCCTGAACTTCCCAAAATATCAAAGTTGAAATCACCCATTAAAATGTGTTCTTCGCACGATTTTGCCACATCCCATGCCTCATAAATTTGATTTTTAAAAATGTCAATTGGTGTTTTAGGTGACTTGTAACCGGTGATCAGACATGTACCATTCACATCATACGCATAGATTTCAGAATGGTATCCTATTTGACTGTCATATTTGACGTCCCCATGAATGTAAGTTATGCTTTTATTGGTTACCATATCTGGTTTGGCATAAATGACAATTCCACGTGTTTTGCTCGTTCTTACAACATCGAATCGATCAACAATTTCAAACTCTGGTATTTCTATATCATTTGAAGGCATGGTTCGCGTTTCCGCCAGTACTAAAACGTCACATCTTCGGTACCAGTCGTCATTTCTAATGTGTTGCTTATGTTTTACAAATGAACTTGTATTGTGGTATCCGAATGTCAATCCAGATTTTTCCTCCAATGGATTGAAGCAACATCTCATGGCCATTTGTGTTTTTAATCGATTGATTTCAATCATTGTGTCGTTGTTTTTGCTTGGTGGCGGTGGTGCTTTGAATTTGCCAATTATGTAAAGACTGTTTAGTTTTGTAACTCGACTCAAAGCAACGTACAATAGATCGCGAGGCAACGACTTTTTCAAAGAAACACATACCGATTCATATGTTGATCCTTGTCCTTTGTGTATGGTTAATGCTTCAGCCGGTGTTATTGGAAACTGTTTTCGATAACACTGAATTGATGCATTTTTCGTGGTTGATATTTCTCTCGATATTGGTTTGATTGGCACCCATTTGTCGTCAATAGCAGTTCCTAAATTGTGGGTGTGTTCTCGTTTTGCTTTTTGACCGGTGCGTTCATAGTCGAATTCGATGTATAAAACCTTTGCAGTTTTTTCACCACTTTCTTTGTTATTGTCACATTGAATGTATCTGTAAATCGAAACAAAAGGGGAAAACGAGAATTAAATAGAATTCCTTTAAAGTGTCAACTTATGAAGATTTTTTTCACAAGAAATGTACAATTACCCTAAAGTTCCAGTAGCTCCGTTCACAAGACCATCTTCGACATCAATATTGACTGTTACCATATATCTGATGCCGATTTTCAAATCCAGATCGTACGGTAAACCATATGTTTGGTGCCTTGACATATTTGACATAGTTTCCAATCGTTTCTTTTTACTTGCAGCCGAAATTTTGCCGCAGATGTTGTCGAGAGCTCTGTGTTTTATCAAATCGCCGGTCATTTGTTCAATTCGTTTAACGTTGTAAAAGTTAACATCTGCATTTGACCAAAAAAGTCGAATTGCATCGGTTGGTACATTTTGATCTGTCACTTCTCGTGATTTAATTAGCTGAATGTCATTTGCAGTCATTTGACCGATTACAAGGTGATTCAATGCGTTGACAAAATTGATATCGTCTTTTTGCCGCATTACCTGGCTTAGCTCGAAGTATTCAAAATTTTCCCAAAGCACTGAAACTGGTCCAAGCAAGCTTCCAATTCGATTGTTGTTCGGATTTCGAAATGGCTTGAAGACTTTTTGATCACCAACTGGTGGCAATTGATGCAAATCGCCAACGACAATCACCGAAATCCCACCAAATGGTTCATTTTTTCCAAAAATTTGCACAAGTCGTTGGTGTATCCAATGCAAGATTTTCGATCCGACCATAGAAATTTCATCAATGATCATGAGTTTAAGATGGACAAGTTGAGCACGAATTGTGTTTGCAATATTGTTTGAAAGAGTCGGTAAATCACCGCCGAATTGATTTATTGGCAATGCAAATGCCGTGTGAAGAGTCGTTCCGCCGATGATACATGCTGCTTTGCCAGAAAATGCGGCTAATAACACTTTCAACGAATCTGGATTGATTCCATGTATATTATCAAAATGATGTGAAGCCAGTTGATAAATTGCGTTGATTACTGTGCTTTTTCCAACGCCGGCAGCACCACTTAAAAAGATATTGAATGGAGTATATTCACATTTCAAGCGTTTCAATATTTCCATTACAAACAATCGTTGTTTTGAATTGAGCACTTCAAGCATTGGCAAAATCTCATTTTTCGGAAATTTTTGTGGACAAAAGTATCGATTGGATGTCTCCTTGGATTTGGGTTTAACTAAACCACCTTGCGCTAAAATATCAACCGGTTCATCTTGTTCGTTGATGTATTCCATATTGTACTCGTCATCTTCATCAAAATCATCGTCGCCTGGAACAACATTTTTAAATAGTTCGTCTATTTCTTCATCAGAAATAGTGACATATCTCTTTTGATTTTCTCGTATGATGTTTCTATTTTGTTCGTAAAACTGTTGATAATTTTGACCTTCGATGTCAGTTTGTTCGCTTCGCCAAGGAAGAAAGAGCAAACATTGTTCGCGAAAGAAATTTGTTGGATCTTGTTTATGAGAATAGCGGACATATCGAATGACTTTTGGTTGCTGTCGTAGGACCATTTTGATTGAACCATCATTTTGTGTTACTTCTTTATACGCAGCTACAAAGTCTGCAAGACATACATCATCATTGCCCTGTCTACGTTCATATCGATCAAAAGCGTCTGGAACTGTACAATTCGAGTCGTCAGCATTCATTGCTTTCAACTGTTTCTTCGATTTTAGCATACGTACACGCGATTCATGAGGTCCTGTATTTATGAATACAACATCAACACTAGATTTTGAAAGAGGCATTGACAAACACAAATACGCCGCTTCTTGAGCTGATAAAAGTAAACCATTAATGAATGCGTTTGAAACTTTTCGGAATTTTTCCCGGAGTGACACATTTCCAGCGTTGGTGTCGGCAACGGCTTGGCGCAGTAACTTTGATAACCCAGAATCGACTTTTGAAATGTAGTTTACAATATATGACGCAACGGCATATTCATTTAAAATGAATTGGATATCCATATTGGATTCGAACATATGCAAAATGTCGTAATTATACGCATTCGTTCCTACGTCACAGCTACATCGTTTCAAAAACACTTTCGACTTATTCAGTGAGCTACGAATGGCAAAAATGTACTCGTTCTCAGTCAAACCCATTTCTTTCAATATATCATCAAATGAAACGTAGACTGGCTTCTTATATAATGCTTGCATATGCTTTTTGATTTTGGCGTAATTTTCTTTACCTTTCTCTTTTTCTAGCTCTTCTTCTTCTTTTAGTGGATGTAAAATACGAGTTCCTTTCATTACTGGCAGGGGAATTCCAAATCTGCATTTTTTTCTTTTACCCTTTTTCTTGTAACAAGTGCTGGTGTGCTTGTGATTTTGTTGACTAATTACTGGAATAGATTCGTCATTTTTGCATGTTATGAATTTATCAATAAACTTAATGCATTCCTTTTCGGATTCTTCCAAATTGTCCATGTCGAGAAATGGAGCACCATCCAACCATATTATAATATGCTCATGTGGTGAACCGCGCATTTGAAACTCCACTCTTTCATATAAATTTGTTACTCGAAAATGTTCGAAAATGCTATTTGTCTTTTTCATGTGTTTGATAAACTTTTTCACTTTGTTTTCAAAGTAACGTGCGCACATGCATGGATCTTTTCGAATCTTTTCAGTTTTGACGTCGTCGGGCAATTCCATCGCTTCTTCAAGCGTTATTTCTTTGTTGTAGTGGTACTGATACAATAATTGCAATAACTCCGGGCATCTTTTCTCGTTTGCCGTAAGCGTTAAAAAAAATACCGGTTTGCCGAGTTGCCGTAAAAGTGCCATTAATTCTTTCTTTTTCGTTTCCCAATAAGCTGGAGATGATCTTATTTGAGAGAGAATGCGATAACTTGCGTCATGTGAAACTAAATTATTCACAGTATCTTCTTTTAAGAAATTTCCTGCAGTCATATTTTCTAGACCTTTCACTTTTCTTAAACAAACGTTGATATTTGAGAGGCATTGGCGTTCTTGCTTTTCTTTTGCCATATAAAGTACATGATCCGGATCACATGAACGTCGATCAGCTCTTCTCAATTCTGATTTAACTCTATTCGTGTATGACACGGAATTGGTGTTGAATGTTCCGCCGGCATATATCTTCGGGAATGTAAGCTCACACACTGCAATTATGTTCCATAAGAGACTGTATAAAATGCAAAACTGTAGCACAGCTAGCGCCACTGCGTACAGCTATGGAGTTCTAGCCTATTGTTTGTAACTGAGCAAAAGTCTTTTCACTAGTGGGCAGCAACTTAGTATAGATTACATTGAATTCCGTCGTGGCGCTAGCTGTGTTACACTTTGAGCATAATTTCGGTACGTAAGCTCATGAATGTCTGGACAGATTAACCACGGAAGAGGTTTTTTGTTTTCGCCCGGAGCTATTGCGATTACAGTATTTTTTGCAATTTCTTCATTCAAATCTAACACTAATATGTCATCGTCTTCATCGTTTAATGAAAAGAATTTGGCAATTTGTCGTTTGCTGCGCAAGTTTAATTTCATTTCTTCCGATTTTTCGTTTTTCTGTTTGATTGATTTTTTTCGCATATCATCATCAGTTGAACTATCACTTGAATCCGAGTTGTCAGCATCATCGTTTGTTTTTGAATTTGATGTTTTCGTAGTAGCAAAAGCAGCGACGGTGGCAGCAGCTTCTTCAAGCGCATTTTCATCATCTGAATCAATAATAAAATCCATTGATTGCGTACTGTTTGCATATTCTTCCATAATCTTTTCGTCGACTGTAATATTATGTTTTTTATACAGTTCCTGTTGAACTAAAAACACGAGTGCTTCATAAATTGATTTTGGACTGATGGTTTCGAACATGTAGTTAGACGTATGCTCCAAGCGTCTCTTTAATTTCAATTGAATGGTTTGCATGTTGTCCGCCGATCTAGGCAGAACATCTACCATTTCAGGCACACTAATTGGAATATTTATGACACTGCCTTTGATTCCGAGTTGCGGGTTTAAGGCGAATGGTGTTAAATCACGAATTTGCATAAAGTTTATGTATGGCGATACGAAACGTGCTTCAAGTGGTGTCAAATTTTTCAAACAGTTCGGCAAATCAGGAAATTGTAAACCATTTTTCACTGCAAGTGTTGGCAATTTTGTTGCATCCTTACGCCACTGTTGCCGGCATGTTTTGCAAATGTAAAGCGTTGAAAACCTTGAATTATCTGGAGCCAGTTCATCGATTTCCTCTTGCGTTGCTCTAACTACAGAATGATAGAAAAACAGTCTTTCGCAACAAATGCAGATGTACATTGGAGTATCTCCACGCTCTGCAATAAAATTGTCAATGTTTTTGACTTTTTGGCGAATGACTAATGAATTTGAATGTGCTTGTGCCTGTTCACGTAAATAGAGTTGAAAGTTACGTCGCAATTTGAAAATGTCATTTTCGGAAGGCGCAGTTTTCGTTCTGGATAATTGTTTTCGGAGTCGATGTTGTGCTGTTTGTCGTGTGATTGCGTTTTTTTGCAGACGTAATGCTCGCTTGCGAGCTGTAATAACATTTGAATTGCGAGTTTTGCGCATACCCACACGTGCTTTCCGATTCAGAAGAGAGCGTTTGAATCGATCATATCTCATGATTTTCTTTTTCCGTCTATCAGCCAATCTTTCAGCTTGACGATAAATTGGATTTGCTCGTAATTTACACACTCGTATTTTTTCTGCTAATCGATATTCTCCATTGTCTTCTCGATAGTTTCTTTTTAATGAAGCCTCTTTTTCACGAAATTCAGACAATTTGCGAAGGTTGGCGAGACGATTGCGTTCAGACTTCCG